AAAAAAAAAAAAAAAAAAAAAAAACAAGAAATGAAAAGAAATAACTGTAAGATTTTTGCGAAGTTTATGGCGGTCTCTAATAAAGATTACATAACTAGAAAATAATACCAACACCAATAACAGTAATAATGAAAATATTAACATTAATTACAGTAATAACAGTAGTAAGATGAAAAACTTACGCCTGGCATCCTAATTTGCTGCAACTACAAAAACCACCTAGAAACACGACCTTCTTCACCGAGCCGCTATATTAGTAGTGCTGGTTTACGAAACGAATGGCACAATGTGTTCGTTGCAACGGTAACGATTCGCTAAGCCTACAACAACAACCTTAGGACACAACTGTCGAGTATTTCAGCAGTCTTCTGCCGCTGACGTCACGTATCCATCCAAAAAAAGTGTTTGTGTTTCGTGTAAAGCAATCGGTACGTTGACTTTTTGAACATTCAGCTGCATCGGGCAAATATGCTTTGGCTGCAACATCCGCAGTATGATTTCTTGCCTCTAAATAAGTCTGCGCTACGGTTTAAGTTTTGAAAGACAATACTAACCAAAACTGTGCCACTGAGCTCACTCAGCTATCCAACACCGCAAATATGTAAAAATTCTGATGCTGCATAGCAGCCCGTGGCGAATAAAATCGCTGTTTGGTTGCCCATTTTTAAACTTCATTCTTTTTTGGTGTTGTTAGGTTTCCTGTTTTTTTTTTTCTTTCTTGGCCGCATCCATTGTATGGTTGTTGGTTGCTTTTGTTTTACTGGAAATGCTATGCAGAAATGAAGTTAGAATTGTGTTCTAGAAAGGTGCTGGTTGCAAGTGGTCAAAGCTGTATCTCTTACTGCCTTGAAAAGTGTCTGTAGAACTGCATAATCTTTATAATCGGCTGTCATTTCATAGCTACGAGTCAAAATCTTTGTTCTGCGTTAACCTCTTTGTAGTTGTAAGCGTTTATCAGATGTGGTATCAGAAGTCTGTTGATTTTTCTTTAAAATTTTTCTTCTGCAATAGAAAAGTTAAAGTGAATTAGTGACAAGAAAATGAAGACGGAATAGTTGTTGCATTTGTTATTGGGTTTACTTTCGACAGTTATAACTTTAAAAAAGTATTCAGGTTTGCTCAGGATTTTATTTTGGAATCGTACATCCATTATTTTTTCCAAATGTTCACAGACTTCAGGATTATGAGGGTAAAAAAAATATGTTTTTTACAATTTGGCAATTTATTTTTTCAAAGGTCTTGTGCATTGTTTAGGTAACAACATTTTCGCTCAGCTACTGTTTAGTCAGGACTTTCATATACAAATATTTATGCCATATCATTTAAGAATCGTATCAAACTGTTCGCTAATTTTCACTGGCTATTCGATTTTTTAAAACTTTCATGAGATAGTCTAATGTAGTCAGACAGTGTTGCATTCCGATTATTAGACGATGTCTCCGCATTATATACTCCACTTATCTTAAGCTGATTAGCAGTGCGCTTTTTTCCACTCGCGTCTCTGAGATCTTTTTCAGATTATCATTAACAACGATGATCCTTACTGCAACTAACTGACTCATAGGTTTCATTTGCTGCAGCAGTCTCCTCGCAGGGGTTTCCCGCTTTGGAAATCAGGTTATTTGTGGTTTCGATTTAACGTATGCAGGAATAGCTACTGTGTGGACTAGGTAGGAATGCAACAAAATTTGATATTCTGATGGTACTTGAGATGGCTATTAGCACAGATGAAGACAGGAGCTCAGACTTCACGACTGTATCTTGCCATATTCGCACTTTTTAAAATAAAAGCTATTGGGTTGCAACCACTGGCCATGGAATTTCACCTCCCAGTCTTCTTGGTCTCCTTCTGCAGTTGAAGTTTCATCTTCTGTTCGTACTGAGTTTACATTTCGTTTTTCACCCCCATTTTACCTTGTCCCTCTGCATATCTCCCTTAAGTCAATCCCGTTATTCCACATTTGTTGCGAAATAGTTGTTTTCAAGACTCCCACTTGTTTTCCTTTTGCAATCTGAGTGTTTGGCATTTGTTAACTGTTCTTTTTATTTTATATTTTCTCCTAACGAGATGTAATCAGCTGCAGCCACGCAACTATGCCTACGAATCGCATTAAATGCATATTTGATATTGTTGTTATATGCAATATTTTTTAGATTTTTTTTTTTCGACGTATTCAGACTACTACCTGGCTCCGCTAGATCGGACATTCACTTTCGTCTTTACCTTTACTATGGGCGTTGCTAAATGCAATTACTGCATGAAATTCATATGTTTGGCGACTATCAGTCGTGCTGTTTTTGAAGTTGTTAAACAGGTAGCTAGAAAGAAATCAATTTTATTCGGAAACTAGGATTAAATTCTTGATTATGAAATCTTTGTTCAAAAAATGGCAGTGGACGTTGAATACGCAAATGAAATGTTTCAGCACTCACGTTATGATTATTTTTATTTTATTTTTGGCCTATTCTACAAGTATTCCGGAAGGTGTTGTTTTACAAAAACTGTGGCCCGAATTTTGCATTTTTTTGATCCCCTAACTTGCGACGCTTCTTGTATGGAAAAGGTAGCAGCCTATGGATGTGCTTTAAGTATGTTACAAAGACCGAAGTTTAAACTTACAGTAAGAAAAAACAATTCAGTAGACGTGGTTAAAAAAATTATTTTAATTTGAATCAAAATGTTTACTTGTCTTGTAGATGAAAATAAAAGTTAATGAATTTTGTCTGAAGTGGCAAAAAAAAGCAATGCAACGCATTTGCCACTCATCGTTTTTTGAAATTCTGGACGTTACTTCACGTCGACTGCATTTTCTTATTGTGCTGCCTCCAATCCTCACTCATACTTCGCATCTCAGAAGGGTAACGCAGTAATGACTATCACCTGTTCAGTGTGTAATGGACAACCTGTTTGTTCCTTACTGAGTGTATGGTAACATGTGCAAAATTAACAGTTTTTAAGTGAAATAAAATGGGAATAAGTAGTTTAGCTTGGTGTTACAAACTGTGACTGTTCTGTTCGCGTAAAATTCTTCCATATGACCCAATTTTTTTGGTGGTGTCTGTTTCGTACAACGCAAGATATTCCGAGGAGGATATTTGCCTTTTTCATGACTATTAGATTGTTCTTAAAACTGTCCTGAACTTTTTTTGATCGTTGCGTATGGTTACGTAAACTTGCTGTATGTGCTACGCGATAGTTCACTACAATAATTATGGCAATGTGCAATCCATAAAGTAAGTGCACAAACTACATTGTCAGGCATTGGGTTTTTATAAAAATGATTAGAAATATTGGTTTTCAAAAAAGGATTTATTTGCTCATCGTTTTGTCATTGAGGATCGAGTAAGGTTGTCGCCGGTATGATAAGACGGTTTTCGGTGTGCCTAGTCGTAGGTTGTTTTCTGGAAAAATGATTGTTAATCTGTAGACTGAAGCTCCTCTGGTGCGTTAAGGTAGTTTTGTTAGAGTGCAGCACTCACATTTGACAGTGTTCTTATGTAGAACGTAATTCTAATAGTAACGGAGACATTTTGTACATGATAAAGCACTAAGTTTCCTTTCCTAGACACCAGGCAATGGTTCTATTCAGGTTCAACATTTGGAGATTGAATTTAATTTATTTAATGGCTGGATATTGGAATGCTTCAGCTTTTAGTTGCTTCCGTGGTAAATATCTATTTTTAAACGATGCAAATAAATGTTTTTCATCTCAGTCCTTGAAGGTTGCGAAGCAAGTGAAAAAAAAAGAAAGAGTGAAGTTGGTGAACTTTGAAGTTTGATTTGTATCCAGTAGGTGGTGACACGAGCTGTGTTCGCCGTATGATTCCTTAGAAGGAACATTGTCAGCGTTAAAATTAATAACCTTGAAAATCTTAATTTCCTCACAGTCGCACCCAGCTGTACCGAAGTACCGAAGCTTCACGCCGTCAAGAACAATTTATTGAGGAGTACATGTTATACCCTTAGGAATCCTACAGTCTTTGCATTTGTCAGAAAGGTGTCGAAGATTCCAATCGTTCCGGAAGAAGAAAAAAGAAATTAAGAGAAACTTTTACTTGAAAAAGAAAAATTACTTTTTTCAAGGATTAATCTGAACTTTTAAACAGTAGATTTCTAAACAAATTGTTGATACTCTTGTAGATCGACGGCCCCAGCGCGCTGATTGGCTAGCTTGTTTTTGGAGGGAAAGTTGAGGAAGGG